TTATAGTGACATATAAAATATGTTGTTAAATCTCATTCAAAATCAACACTAAAATTATATGTAACTATATGTCAAATAAACGTATACCTACATATATTGTACTTATAATAACACTTATTATATGTCACTATATGTAATATTTCTTGACGTTTGAATTAATTTATTTTAAGGAGAATTTTTTTATACTGCCTATAAATGTATTTAATAGTTTTGTATAACTTGCTTGCCTTGTGACTTATTTATATATATCTTTTAAAATAAGATTTAATTACACTTTACCTTAGCTTTCAACAATAAAACTCAACCATTAAACTAATAAATTTTTTCACATATTAATGAAAGTTATACATATATATAATTTTTTTCTAATAGAAACTAACACTACACGTACATTTATTATTAAATATTTATATATTGTATATTATTATTATTAAAAATGTTATTGATAATTTAATTAATTTATTTGTATCAACTACTTTTAAAAATTTGTATCTATGTTTTGTCATATAATAAATTATAATTTCTTTTGAATTTGATGTTAAAAGGTGTTAGGAATAAAATAATTTTTTCTTTTACATATAAAGATGAGAAAACACAAATAAGTCAATAATAATAAAAAAATCACAAAATGTTATCTAACGTGATTTAGTCATTTATGCTTACATTTACAAAAATATTCATTATTTCAATATGTATATATTTATATTGCTCACAAATTTTATGAGTAAAACTATGAAATTCTTTTTTCGTAAGTTTTATAAGTGATAATTTTTCACTCACTAATTTTCTGACAAAATTTAGAAACTTTTATCCACAAATTTTCTGGCAAAATTTTAAAATCTTCTTTCATATGATCTCTTTTTTCATTTAAGAAGAATAACTCTTTCTACAAGTATTATAAGTCAAGTGATTTTTCTTATTTTAAAAGTATTTATTTTATTGAATTTATATCCTAAAGTAAAGAAAAAAAATCTATAATTTTTAAAAAATTTACAAAGTATATCATATATTTAAATTCGAAAATATGAATTGTTTATGCACAAGGAAGCTGAAAAGCTGAAAACAAGCGTAAGTAATTCAGCTTTGTTTAATTAATGAGTTTATGAAACAACTTGTGTCTGATCCCATTGGCATTCAGAATCGTGTCGGCCACACTTTGAAAAGGTGTACGTCTTCGAATATTTTGCAATCAAAACCAATTATTAAATTGCATGCAATAAAAGAAAATCCCAATACATGATCATGGAAACGCTTTACTACCTTCAGAGAATATAAACGATTCTACCAATTTTTTTAGGCCACATATTAACATTTGTCTTCATTAACTTTTTCCTCCAAATATAACTATACTATACAATTCAATTTGGTAGCATGTGTTATTAAAATAAAGTTATTAAAGAGGTTACAAGAGATACTCTAACTCTTACATCTAAAGTCATATCCTATAACACATTTACACTCTAGTTAAAATCTTAACACCAAAAGGGTAACCAAACAACCTATAACCTTACTCTAATTGTCTAAGAGCATATATCTAAACTACTTTTCAAAATCCAATACATCTTTCTTGAAAATATTATATTCTTATGAAACCATAATGACCCAAAACCATATATACCTACCTAAGTTTTTGCCCACCGGACAACATATTGAAAAAAGTGCACTTTGCAATCTACATGTAATGTCTTATCATGAGGAGTGATATGAGTGGTGCCATGTATAAATATTTTTATAACTTTGTTTAGATAGTTTTTTCTATAAATATTTACAAAAAAAATTTAATAAATAATTTAAAGTTATTAAATACATTAAAATCAATTTATATGCTTCTACTTCTGAAGTTCATGAGAAAATTTTGGTTTATCCAAGTAGTATAACTGTTTTTTATTTTATATTTAACTCTCTTGTTTTGATAATACTTATGAAAAATTGTCCAGATGAAATCTTCTTTGATTAATAATTTTGAAGTTTATCGTTGTTATTATTGTAATTCCCATCTACATAAAAACTTTGATTTATATTGTCTCAAAATGTTAAAAGGTATCCATTGATTATTGCAAATATTTGACTCAACTATAACATAATTGTATATATATACACACGCTGCTGAATTAAGTCTCAAATAATAAATAATAAACTAAATTTCATCCGTTGAATATGTTATTTTAATCTTTCATTAATTTTCGCATAATGTTAAGAGATTATATTAAAAATATATTATGTTGATAGTTATACTATTGAACATAATTTGTTTAAGTATAATTTATTTTACATTTCTAATATATTAATTTTTAATTATATTCTAAAAAATTACTAGAATCCAAATAACATTTCATGCAAATTATGAACCGACATGAGTTGACGTTAAATTCGTTGAAGATTTTTATATTGGTATCAATTTCTGCGGTTGAAACGGATTTGAAAATTATTTAAATAACACCAATTATTTACTTACCACGAACACATGTTGATTATATATATAT